TTATTCAGATGATGTGTACAATTGGACATATTTGTGTAGTAATATAGTATATATACATATCTGTCCCGGGTCACAACTTATTTCCGTGAGTTTAGCCCCAAGTCGTAGCCTTAGTCTAAAATATAGCATATTGTAAATATCGTAAATTCTGAACAAGTTGTGTACCTAATAAATACTTTTTATTTAAAAACGTACTTTTTTAGAAAAAAGCATGCTTGTGAATTCTTAAGTTTGAGCTAAAAATTTTAAAAAAAGATTAGTTTCATTATCAGCTTTCAATTTTGATAGTAATGAATCTCATTGAAGATAAAACAAAAAAGAACTTGTTTTTAGGAGACTCATTCCTGCTCAATTTCATTTAGCACCATAAAAAAATTTTGTGGACTTTTTTGTCAACTTCGGAGGTGAATTCGATTTAAATGACGCAATCTAGCTGTGTTAATAGACCAAGAGTATTTACTCTTGAGCTATCATGATCTTTAACAGTGGCGTGGCGTGCTTTGCGATATATCGATTGTTATGCCATTTAATCTTATGGAAAAAGATCAATAAACAGGGTGTTCGCAGTGAACACCTTAATAATCGATTCTGTACCGTAGGTTTAAATGGCACAACAATCGATACATCGCACTTCACGCCACGCCACTCACAATAATCAATAATTAGTAGAACATGAATCGTTTCGATGTATAATACCACATTATAATGCGGCATTACTATTGTAATTAATTATAATGTATTAGGGGCATTATAAGTTTTTATTACCACGTCGGAATGAAATGTTGTAGAATGAATTGAAAAGCATGTTGGCAAAATTTATTATAAAAATAGTATAATGTATGTATATAACATAAAGGTAATACAAATTAAATGATTAGAGCGTGTGTATTTCATTACATTATATGTATATTACAATCATTTTTGTTATTGTTGGAAATGATGGTTTGAAATTTGATAGTTTGAAATTTGTTAGTTGATAGTTGATAATTTGAGAGTTGAAAATTTGGGAATTTTATTTAGTTAAGGTGATTCGATAGACGCCATATTTTGTGTTAGAACGGCATGCGACATATCGCATCAATTGGATCCATTTTTTCAGTTACTTATCCTTTTTTTCCAATTTTAAGTTTCGCAATTTTGTTTTCAGGAGACTAAAGCACTCACTTACCAATTTGTATATTTGTATTGAGTTAAGAATAGAGGTGTATTTCTCTCTGGGATTGAGGAATGGAGGTGTTACAGTAAGTCCGGCATTAGGTTCCATTTCGAAATTATGGACGAAACTGAAAGCCTTTGTTCTGATGTTAAGTCCCTAGCAAGGAAAACAAAATCCTTAAATTTCACTAAAAATCCTTAAATCTCTAGATTTGCTCAGTTATACCAAGAAAGTAAAAAATCCCTATATTTTGCAAAAAGCGTCATTTTTATTGAATAATCATGACTTCATTCTATGTATCAATTTGCATTATTTAAATCTGAATGGCTCGTTTTATTTTTGTTGTTTTTGAAAGCAGTGCTAATCCAGACAAATAAAATAAAAGAATATTATTTGAGTTCTTATTATTGTTTTTTTACTGTTGAATGTAGTTGATTGTCAAGTTATCTAGTGACGCAATCGTTTTATTTTCGGCTTATTTACGCGGAAAATAGTGTTGCCAAAAAGGCTTACAAAATATAGAGGAAAAAATGTTTTCGATTGTCGAAGCTAGAATTGAGGTTAAAAATTCGTTTTTTGCTAACTTTACATTATCAAAAAAAACCCTAGATTTCCTGAAATTTTTAAATCCCTGGAAATACCGGAAAATCCCTAAATCTAGGGATAAATCCCTAGACATCGGATTGCTGCTGGAATCATTAGAGTCAACGTTTGAAACGCTGCTGCAGAATTTGCCGAGAGTATAATCGATGTTGAAAGTCAGTAGAATTAAACAATGTAATAATTGCTTTTCGAAATAAGCGTTATAATAATAAAGACCACGAATCTGAACTGTTCATTCTGGAGCAAACCTTCTGTAAATGTACTTTGCGAAAGAGTAGTCAAAAAATAGATTGACTGGAGGAGGAGTGTTTCTTCACAGAGTTGGAAGAAGTAAAAAAAATGCCTAAATTTAGGAAAAAAAAATTTTTAGGTTGTGTGCAGTTTTATCAATATCAAAAGATGTCGTATTTAAAAGATGTAAATCGATTTTTTCTGGATTTGTAATGGAAGGTTTTGGAAGCCCATAATGATCCAATGAATTTCCTGATAAATTAGTGAGCAATTCATTTATCATTAATAAACAAGTATTTTCAACGTTTTTTTTCATGATTTCATCTGTTTTTGATGCGTGATCTATATTCGCCATATATTTTTTTTCAATATCATCAAAAAATATGTCTTTGGTTTTGTTCCAAAGACTAAGAGGGTCTGAAACATTGCAGTAAGATAAAATGATAGCAAACAATTCTCTCAATTTTTTTGAAGATGCAGATAAAGCAGCTTCTTCTAAAGCTTCATACCATTGATTGTCATTTTCTAGCAAACCTAAAGATAAACATGCAGACTGAAAAGTATCACATATGATTCCATCAACTGTCTTTAAATCAATGGAGGAAGAAGGTCCCCGAATTTTATGCAGTAACATTCGAAGATAATAACATTCTGCATTATTCGGATGAGCAGTGTAAACTCTACCTAAACACGTAGATTTTTTTACGCCAGGCCATAAATTTACATCGTCCCCTTGCTTTCGTCGCAAAAATTTATTATTTTTCCAAATATAATATTGAGGCACTTCATTATATAAGAGTGTTTTAGCAAATTCATCTGTTTTGCAAAGATTAAAAAAAGCCATTAAAGTGGAATCTTTTGGTTTGATTATTTCTTCTTTTGATGAAGCTGGATCAAAATAAACTCTCTGTCCATTTTCTAAATGAACACTTAAATTAAAAACTGATGGAAACCTTTCATGAATAGGAAAGCACAATATACGCCAAGAAGCCTCTGAACTGCTGATGTATCTCCCCGTAACATACTTCTCAACCTCATCAAATTCATTCTCTATTGTGAATACTGCTTGATCACTTCCTTTCATTATGTATTTACAAAGATATTTTATTGATTTTACAGACCCACAATGCTCCACATTTGTATGGGTTTTGAAAGTTCGAGACAAAACTGGATTGTAAGGAACAACCCATCTATTATCAAGTTCAATTCCACGAATAGTAACTGTAAAACCACCTTCTTCTGGTGATAATCGCCTATATTGCGTGTAATTGTAATCACCAGTTTGCGTTTCTTTAATGAAAGGCTTAGGAAAACGTTTACTACAAAAACCTTTAACCATGCAGTAACAATTTTGATTTGAAATACCGCAAGGTCCATGAATCATAAATCGTTTTACTATCTCATATAATTTTGGATCCTCATTTGGATCTGGAATTTCAGCACACACAATTTTATCTACATCATTAGGTCGAAGCTTTTCTACCAACCACAGTAAAATGTGAACATGCGGAAGACCCCTTTTTTGCCATTCAATAGTATACATGAAACATTTTACAGATCCGAATAGTTTTCCTTTTACAATAAATTTCATCAAACTTTTAACATTTAGTTGAAAAACACGTGAAATTAAATCATGCCTGTGATGTGGTTTTTGATTTTTCATTAAATTATCAGTAATATCAGACCAATTTGGATTGCAAGTATGCGTAATAAAAAGATCGGGTTTTCCATAAGCTCTGACAAAAGTCATTGCATCTTGGCAACGCTCGTGCATGTATCGAGGCCCACTCGTGAACGATGATAGCAAAATTACCGCTTTGCCTATATCATTTAAGTTAAAATGCTGAATTGCATCTTGCAAATGGATATACTGTTCGACTCTTAATTTTTTTTGGTTATTTCTTATGTATCTCAGCCTTTCCGTTTCAATTTTTGCAAACATATCTACTAAAAATTGATTAAATAAATTACGACAAAATAAAAGCCTATTGTTTCCATCATTCTGTCTAATCATAATGCGGTAAGCATAAAAATTAGCACATGAAACTGTTTTTTTCAAATCCTTTTTTGAAATAGGATCCTTTTGAAAAATATCAATAGAATAGCCATTCTCTCCAAACCAAAAAATAAGTGGATATTGCAGAGAATCATATCCTTTATTTATTTCACTTATTCATTTCACCGTATCATCACGTTTATGAATAATGATAAGTGAATGTATGAATAGTGATACAGTTAAATTGAGTTCCACTGGAATTAAGAATTAAAAAATCCATGATTACACAACAAACCCACTATGAAAGCAACAACTAAAGTTCAGAAATAGTTAGGAAATCCATGATTACACTAGAAAACCACTATGAAAGCAACAACTAAAGTTCAGATAATGGAAAATAACTGACCCAAAACATTCAAAAATATGTTATTTTCATCAGCTGCTCAGTTTAAAAAAAAAAAAAAAAAAAACAAAGTAAAAACGTTCGTGGGGAGGGGGGAAGGCGAATAAATATACGAGCAGTAAGCGTAGAAGAATATCTATGGAAACATAAGAAAGCTCAAAAACTTTCATCAGCTGATAATCGGATGAAACATAGAAAGGCCCGCAGTGTTGCCGTTCATAGCATAGAACAGCGGAAATCAAGGGCCAATTACGCGCGCAGCTAAAGGTATCCGACGGCCACCCGGCAACGGCCGCGTCAGGAAATATACCCGCACTGCTACGTCTCTCTTTCCAACACACACGGGCTTACGGGAATATCCGCGACTTCCGACCGCGGTTACTCGCGAACGGACGGGCGGATCGCGAAAAGAAAGCTTATTGCACTCCTCCGGGGACAGTACCCGTCGAACGGCTAAGTTCGCACCGATTCCGACCGGTGGGAGCAGGGAGGCGAGCGTGATGGATGAGTGTATGATCAATGTATTTCCCTTTTATTAGTTAGATCATGAAAGCCATTTTGGAGTAGAAAGAAGTTTAAGTCAAGCTAGAGGATTAGTATTCTGGCCAAATATGTCTAAAGAAATATCTGAACTAGTACAGCAATGCCATATTTGTAATATGTTTCAGAATAACAACAGAGCGGAAATTTTGCTGCCTCATAAAATAGCAGAATACCCATGGCAAAAACTTGGCATGGATTTCATGGAATTAAACAAAAACTTGTACCTGGTGGTAATAGATTATTATTCGCAATTTCCTGAGTTAATCCAAATTAACAATACTAAAGCAAATACACTAATTGTTCAACTCAAATCTATGTTTGCTAGGTATGGCATTCCAGAAATAATCTTTTCTGACAATGGCTCTCCTTTTCAATCTAAAGAATTTCAAAAATTTTGTGAATGGTCAATCGTTAACGAAACATCGAGTCCAAAATATCCTAAATCAAATGGACTGGTTGAACGAAACGTACAAACTCTGAAGAAAATGCTTAAAAAATGCTTCAAAGCAAACCAAGATCCTTATGTTGCTCTTCTTAATTTTAGAAATACACCCAAAGGAAAAATGCCATCCCCGTCAAATCTCTTAATGTCTAGAAACCTAAGAACTAAATTGTTTGTTCAAAAGTCAAACCTCCAATCAAAGCCAATCCCTTATACTATGTTTCACAAATTGAAATCAGATAACATTAAGGAAATGAAAAAATATCACAAAGGCAAAGGAAAACTCTCCGAGTTAAAAATAGGTGATCCAGTTTATTTCAAAAAATCATGGAATGCTGAGTGGGAGAAAGGTTGCATTGTAAAAAAATGTAAACAACCGCGCTCGTATGACATTGTAAATGAAGCAGGTAAACAATACCGAAGAAATAGAGTATTCATCAAACCTAAAAAAAGAATAGCGCCTAATCATGATAAAAAGCGTGAAGTTGATCAAACGCTCACACCTAAACTCCAAGAAAAATCGGCTAATTGTTATGAAAATGATTTTATACTAATTGAAGAATGTCAATCGCAACACCTCCCCCAAACTCCAACGTCGGAAAAAGAATATCTCTCGGCTGAAGAAGACTTATCATATCTATTCAATTTAACCCCGGAAAATATTGATAATATTATTGTAGGTCCCTCTAACAACATTGTGTCAGTAGATCTATCAGAGTTGGATATTGCACCAACTCAACCTTAGCCCTCAAGACCAAATATAGGAAGAGATCGTGCAAATGCTAATAAAAGTAGCCCAAATGTTTGAAATAGTCAACGCGAAAGGAAACCTCCAGCGTATCTTAAAGATTATAAAACTAATTAAATTGTATAAAACCAATCTGTTTATTGTATTTTTTTTTGTTTGTAAAAAAAAAAAAAAGGGGGAAGTTGTTATGATAGTATATCATATCTCATATAGAGAGCGCTGTGCTCTCCTGTACACTACTGTGACCGAGGACGGCCGGAAGCCATCCAACCCAATACAGATTCATCATGGCTGCCTAGCTATCGTCTTGTCTTTTCGTCTTCTCTCCTTTCCTTCTTGAATAGGATTGCTCCTATCCAAACATCAATGAACAGTTAATATTTTGGCATGAAAATTACAGTTTACACAGTATAAAATACTAATTCTACACAGTAATAATACTGCACTTATTTCTTAAATTTAGGCATAATTGGCCATCCTCCACACAAATCGACATATCTAAATTGAGAAATTTCAATAACTCTTGTCAACATTTTACTCTTTCACATTTTTGCCGAAAATTTTGCCGTTATCTACCTATCCTACACCCTGGAAATAATGGGAAAAATATCATATTTTATGATGTGTTAATTACAAAATAAAATGCCTATTTTCAAAATATAAAATACGTCTTTCGATACAAATAAAGACTATATCTTACAATAGTGTTTAATTCGTAATTTTGCCACGAGGGCATAGCTATCCCACACTATTTTTAATGGATTCCCGTAATGAGGCAGTGGCAAGGAATTTTTGCAGGGATGTGGCATTGTCGCACATGTTAGGAAGAGGATTTTTGCAAGTCGTACACTCAAGATATAGTAGCATTCAAAATAGCAAAAATAAATCAAATAAAAACAGATATTGTGGGAGAGCAAGGGTAGACAGAACGAATAAGTGAGTAGACGAGTAGTTCTTGAAAAAAGCACAACACTCTTGATTCGACACGCCAGAATACAGTTGATGTGAGACGATACACTTCATGTAAAAGATCTTAGAATTTCACCACGACCCCCGGGAACTGGAGCCATAATCAAGTAATCTTCTTAGGTATACCTATCGAGTTTATATATCGAGTTTACCACCCTATAGGGTGGTAAACCCGAATTGAAGTTGATGGCACAGAAACCACGCATGTGCAACTCTGAGGATGTGTTGCATCGTCCATCTGAGGCACAGATAAGAAGGATATTAAATAAATGTGATGGTGCGTCTGATTGTATCCAAGCATCAGCTTAAGACTCAAATGTTTCTCAAGTTGAAATTAAGAAAGAGACAGAAGAAACGAGAGGAAGAAAGATAGACAAAAACTCTGTCTAAGGGATAGTTTTGAATACGCATTGCGTAACACGCGACAGGCACGACAGGCAGAGAATAGCGCATAGCTAGGGGCACATAGAGTGTACACGTACTTGCTTGGGTCACCACCAAAAGTAAGATCCAGGGACTTCGACCTATTATAAATTCTTCCTTTTTTTACAGCTTACTGCACAGTATGCAAGTGACCATTTGATAACAAATATAGTGAACAAGGTAGCAGTTGTTCAACAGCTACTCGCCAGCAAATTGTCGCCATTTTCGTCAAAGAATGAATGTAAGTTTGATAGGCCTCTTTCTTTATCGGGCAGATATTTCTCTTTGGGAGTTCAGTTGAGTCTTCAGCGACTTACAGTTATGATTACAGGCTATGATTCAGCGATAGAGTTCGGAAAGCGCATGGACCAAAATTTGTTTTTTCATCCAAATTTCACGCGGAACGTGATTTGTGAAACGGAAATTATTGAAAGTAACTCCTGGACAAGATATTAATGTTTATCGATGCACAAAAAACTACCACTCATAAAAAACACAGGGGAAAAAAGAGAAAAAATAATCTACTTGAGACAAATCACATCTTAAGCGTTATCAGTATCAGTATCTGCAGTATGAAAGTAGGAAAATATGAAAATATGAAAATATGAAAATATGAAAATATGAAAATATGAAAATATGAAAATATGAAAATATGAAAATATGAAAATATGAAAATATGAAAATATGAAAATATGAAAACCTTGATGTAGGCGCTTTGGATCGGTTGCACGTTTTTCGCACTTTTGACAACTTAGTAAAGAAATAGAACTGTTCGATGGATCGTAATCGATGTTCGATACATCAAACAGGTGAGATTGTATCAAAATTGCTTGGTTCAAGATGTTAAAATAACGTCAAAAGTCAATTGAGTAATGTGACGGCACGAGCTTTTTATGAGAGATTCTTTCATTTTTATGAGTATAAAATGGTTGTGAAAAGTGACATTTTTTGGAATTTTCTCATTTTTATCTTTTCCAACTTGAATCCTAAAGTTTTGGTTTGAGGTTATGTTCTATTGTTTATAGAACCAAACAATTCATTGAACCCATAGAGTACATAGAGTCGTAATGTAAGTGGGAGAGCTGGCGCCATGTTCTGCTCGACGAATTCCGAGCCCGGTGTGCGCCGAGTTCGGGTCGCTTTTTCGATACATTTTCGATCCAAAATGGCGGTGTGGAATACGTGGTAATTCCTATCTCCTTTGTTGTTGTTGTTGTTGTTGTTGTTGTTGTTGTTGTTGTTGTTGTTGTTGTCATCGGATGGCCGGGTACCCGTGTATCGCAAACAATCGATAATGTATCGAAAAAGTGACCCGGCGTCACACAGGAGTCTCGGAATTCGGGATATGGAAAATGCTTAAAAGTGGCGCCAGCTCTCCCTCTTACATTACGACTCTATGTACTCTATGATTGAACCATCATCGAATACGATCGATTAAAAGCATATACCAAAACCGTTGTAATGCGCGATATGATCCACGTAGACTCTGTTGCTCTTTTTAGCGGGAAATTCAAATTTTTCACAACCAGTGCCAAATGAAAACGTTAATATCTTGCTTAGGACTAAATTTCAGTAATTTTTGTTACGCGAATCGTGTTCTACGAGAGATTTGGAATTGAACACTTAAATTCGTACCATGTCCAGGGGTCCATTATGAGCTCATGAGTTACTGCGAGGAAAAGAACGATCCCTGTCTGAATGGAGCCATAGATTGTAGTTAGAACACTCAAGTTCCACATGACACCAGACAGTATAAGAGATGCAACATCCGATGCTCTAAAAACTTGTCCCAAAAGATATTAAGGATATTCTTAATGGGACCAATCAATAATAATCGCTCTCAGTAGTTATAGATACCGTACCTCGATTTTTGCTTGAGTCCCAGAAATTATAGATTCATATGTAAAACAGTGGTCACGTGGAGATGGAGATACTTTCTTACATAAAAAGAGCGACGATATATCCCTCTTGAATATTGAGCTATATCTTCCGCACTCATAGGTATTCAATGAGAAACTTGGATCAATTGCTATCATTTACATATGTCCAGCCTCAAGGATAGAGAGGTGAGGTAGAGCTTCGAAAGGAATGGTCCTCATCTGTTCCTAGGAGGCTAAAATAGAGGGCCTCTATACCTCTCTCTGGTTTATCTGCCAAATTTTAGACTGATTGTGAGTAAGTAGATTATATCAAAATCATGACTGCGCACAGTGTTTTGGCTATTTTTCATAAACGTGTCATTTTTCAGTCTTACTCGGTGGTTCATCAGCGCGGAGGAGAGTTAATCGTGAGAATAAGAAGAGAGGGTCAAATAAAGGTAAGAAAAATAAAAAAAAAAAAAGGTAAGATAACCGCACGACCTAAGGATTTTCAATTTTTTTGTAAAAACCCCCTACCCCCTACGCCCTTTGACCGCTTTGCGGTTCAAACCCTATGCTTAAGGTTTTCTTTAAGAAATTTTCGTTTTTTTATTTCAAATATGTAATTCGTGTGATTTTTTAAATCTGTAATACAATTTTTTGCTAAAGCACTATATACGTCCATAATTAGCATTTATTTGACACAATCTCTAAGAGGCCTATTAAAGCATCTCCGTATCTTCTGTTATTGAGTGAGCACCGCGTTATGTTCCTTCTAGTTTGAGGCACTTTCTTTTCTCGGATTTGTATACAAAACGAGCGACGTTAACAATTCTAGGTGGCGGTAGCCACCCCGGCCCAATCCTAAAAAACTCCCTCTAAAAAATGACGACCCAAAAAAAAAAAAAAAAAAAAAAAAAAAAAAAAAAAAAAAAAAAAAAAAAAAAAAAAAAAAAAAAAAAAAAA